AGGATAATATCTATATGCTTATAATAAAGCCCAGTTAATACCACTGTTAGTTAAAATTTATGCACCAACTGTTAAAGCCACTGATGATGAAACTGAAAAATTCTACCAATTTATTCAGTCTGAAATTGATCAAATATGCAATCAAGATAATTGCTTTTGATAAACATGCATTGATAATTAGAAACAAAGAGATCAGTAGTTGAAAAATATGGCCTTGATGATAGAAATGATGGTAGAGATCATATGATAGAATTTTGTAAGACCAATGACTTCTTCATTGCAAATACCTTTTAAAAATAACATAATAGATGATTATGCAAATGGACTTCACTGGATGGAGTACGCAAAAGTCAAATTGATAACATCTGTGGAAAGAGACAGTGTAAAAGCTCCATGTTATCAGCCAAAACTAGGCTGGGGCAGATTGTGGAATAGACAGACCATCAATTGCATATGTAAGTTCAGGTTGAAGAAAATTAATGCAAGTCCATAAATGCCAAAATTTGATCTTGAACATATCCCACCTGAATTTAGAGATATATCAACAGAATAGTGACCCCAAACCAGAAGAACTGTAGGATGACATCAAAAACATCATACAGGTCAGAAGATACTCTGAAACTTGCTTTGCAGCATAGAGATGCTAAAGCAAATGGAAGAAATGAAGAGGTAAAAGAGCTGAACAGAAAATTTCAAAGGGCAGCTCAAGAAGATGAAGGCAAATATAATGAAATGTGCAAAGATTAGAAACTAGATTGGAATTAGAAAATCAAAATGTAAGAACATCCGCAGCATTTCTGAAGCTGAGAGAACTGAGCAAACAATTGAAGCCTCAACTTACAATATTAAAGGATTCTATGGGGGGAGAAAGATGAGGCTTTCTGCTCCCATAAAGATTTACAGCCTGAGAAATCCTATACAGGGTTGCTATGAGTCAGGACTGACTCCACGGCACATAATCACCATTACCATGGGCAAAATATTGAATGATGCAGAAAGCATAAAAAAAATATGTAAGGAATACACTGTACCAAAAAGAAATGCTTGGTATTTAACCATTTCAAGACATGGCATGTGATCCCAAGCCAATGAAGAAGTTCAAGTTGCACTGAAGACATTGCCAGAATACAAAGCTCTGGGAATTAATGGAATGCAAACTGAAATCTTTCAACACACAGATGAAACACTGGAGACACACATTCAACTATGGCATGGCATTTAGAAGACAGCTACATTATTTGTGCCCATTCCAAAGAGAGGTGACCCAGTGGGATATGGAGATCATCAGACAATATCATTAATATCATATGCAAGTAAAATTTTGCTAAAGATAATTACAAAACGGCTGCAGCAGTACACTGACAGGGAACTGCCAGAGATTTGAACCGGATTCAGATGAGGATGTGGAACAAGGGATATCATTGCTGATGTCAACCGGATTCAGATGAGGACGTGGAACAAGGGATATCATTGCTGATGTCAGATGGATCTTGCCTAAAAGCAGGTAATAACATAAAGATGTTTACCTGTGTTTTATTGATTGTGCAAAGGCATTTCACTGTGTGTATCATGAGAAACTGTGGACAACATTGTGGAGAATGAATATTCCGGAACACTTGTGTTCATTAGGAACCTATACGTAGACCAAGAGGCTGTCGCTTGAACAGAGCAAGGGGCACTGAATGATTTTAAATCAGGGAAGGTATGCGCCAGGGTACTGCTCTTTCACCCTTCTTATTCAATCTGCATGTTGAGCACATAATCCAAGAAGCTGGATTATATAAAGAGTAACATGGCATTAGGAGTGGAGGAAGACTCATTAACAACATTCAATATGCAGATGATACAACCTTGCTTGATGAAAGTGAAGAAGACTTAAAATACATACTGATGAGGATCAAGGATCACAGCCTTTGGTATAGATTGCACCTCATTGTAAAGAAAACAAAAAATTCACATCACAAGAGCAATAAACAACATGAAATGGAGAAACACTTGAACTTGTCCAAGACTTTATATAGCTTGAATCCCTCATCAACACTCATAGAAACAGCAGTCAGGAAATCAAATGACATGTTGCATTAGGTAAATCTGCTGTGCAAAACCTCTTTAAAGTGTTAAAGAGCAAAGACGTCAGTTTGAGGGCGAATGTGTGCCTGATCCAAACCATTATATTTCCAACAGTCTCATATACATGGGAGAGTTGGACAGTGAATGAGGAATACTGTAGAAGAATTGATGCATTTGAGTTATAATGTTGGAGAAAAATATTAACAGTACCATGGACTGCCAGAAGAGCAAACAAATACATATTGGAAGAAGTACAACCAGAATGCTCCTTAGAAGCCAAGATGATGAGAGTTTGTCTCTCATACTTTGGGCATATTATCAGGAGGGACCAGTCCCTGGAGAAGAACATCATGCTTAGTAAAATGAGGGGTCAGTGAAAAAGAAAGGAGACTGCCCACCCCACCCCCCACCCCAGTGAGTTAGATTTGCACAGTGGCAGCAGCAGTGGGCTTAGCCAAAGAAGTAATTGTGAGGATGGCACCAGACTGGGCAGTGTTTCTTTCTGTTGTACATAATGTTGCTGTGGGTGGGAACTGATTCAATGGCACCTAACAACAACAGATATATATGGTATGGTGCTATAGGATCAGCACTGGACTGCTATCCACAAGGTCTGCAGTTCAAACCAGCCACTCCTGAAATCACACAGCGTCACTATGAGTCAGGACCAACTTGACAGCATTTAACAGTTTAACAATTAACAACCAGTGTGTAAGTGGTGGTGGTGGTTACGTGCCATGAAGTCGGTTCTGACTCATAGTGACCCTATACAGCGTTTCCGAGGCTGTAAATCTTTACGGGAGCAGAAAGCCCCTCATCTTTCTCCTGCGGAACACCTGGTAGTATCGAACTGCTGACCTTG